AAGTGATTATTATATAAAGAACGTAAGGATATTGTGAGCCTCTCTGTTGAGCGAATTGTAGAAATCGCTTGTGTCGAGCTCGAGCACCTCATTGTTGTAAGTGTTTACAGACCCGCATGTGCTACTTATGACTATTTTGAAAGGATTGTGGAAGAAGTTTTACTCAAACTTAGTAAACAGAACAAATCTGTTGTAATATGTGGAGACTTTAACATCAATCTCCTTGAAACTTCTTCCATTAGTATTAAGTTTAGCTCATTGTTTAAATCGTATAATCTTGTTAATTTATTTTTAGAACCAACACGTTTTGCTGGGCCTAGTGCGACCTGTATAGATAAAATTTTTACCGATGTTAAGCCCTTGCATGAATGAATTATTCTACCTACTATACTATATTATTAACCTTACATACACAAAAAACAGAAAAATAAATAAGTTGTGTTTGTTCCAATAAATGAACATCGCTTGGAGAGGTTTAGAAGTAATATAATAAAAAGACTTCCATCGCTTTTTAAGGCTTACATTTAAGCAACAAAATTAAAACTGCATCCGACAAAATTAAAATGACCTGGAGAATAATAAATAGTGAAATCGGCAAGGTTAAACCGCGCAACTCGGATTTTCAATTGAATATTAACAATAATTTAACGCGATCTGATCAAGAAGTTGCTATGGCTTTTGAGAAACATTTTACTGATGTTCCTTTTTGACGACTAAATCATTAAATTCTTCTCCTACTGTCGCCGAATTATTGCTCAAACAAAATGTGAAGACTTGTTCAAATACTTTTAAATTCCATAGAGTACTGCCAAAAGATATCGTTAAATATTATAAAACTATTGATGTTGAAAAAACGGCAGACTTATGGGGGATTTCCGTTAAAGTTATTTTATCTATAATAGATATAATAGCACCTTATCTAGCCACTATATTTAATACAAGCGTTGAATCTGGTGTGTTTCTTGATTTAATGAAACATAAAATTAAAGTCATACCTATATTTAAATCTGGTAGTACATTATAACCCGCCAATTTTAGACCAATTTCTGTACTACCAACATTTAGTAAAATTTTTGAAAAAATTATTTTAGATCGGATGTTAAGTTTGGTTGAGAATGGGTGAGTCAACCGTCAAATGCCTTTTGTACGCCGATGATCAAGTCATATTTGCATGGTCGGCGGCCGAGTTGCAAATGATGGTTACTTTAATGAATTGGTCATTGAAAGAAAGGGGTATGAAAGTGAACGCAAGTAAGACGAAAGTGATGGTTTTTGAAAGAGAAGAAAGTAAAACTTTATGTGAAATAAGAATAGAAGGGGAGTTGATTGAGCAAGTGGATGAGTTTGTATATTTGGGATGTTTAGTTAGCAGGGATGGTAGATATGACAAGGATATAGAACGACGAGTGAACGCAGGAAATAGAGTGAATGGGGCTCTACACGCTATTATGAGGAGTCAGAATGTGTCAACTAAGGCACGTATGGCAATTCATAATGCTGTGTTAGTCCCTACTTTAATGTATGGTAGTAAAAGTTGGGTCTGGCAGAAGAAGCATGAGAGTAGAATAAATGCTGTGGAAATGCGGTCCTTAAGGAGTATGCTAGGGCTGAATCTGAATGACAGGGTGAGAAATAGTGTGATAAGACAAAAGTGTGGTTTGCAAGATGACGTTGTGACAAGGATTAAGAAAGGAATGCTTCGGTGGTTTGGTCATGTAGAAAGAATGAACGAGGAAAAAGTGACAAAGCAAATTTATGTTGCAGAAGTGAACGGCATGGTCGGGAAGGGACGCCCTAGACGAAGGTTTATCGACCAAATCGGCGATACATTAAAAATGGCCAGATTAGGAATACCCTTAACCGACGAGCGTGTATGCGTAGATATATGGATGTAAAAGAGGCGAGAGAGGTGTGTCAGGATCGCGCCAAATGGAAGTCCGTAGTCTCTGCCTACCCCTCTGGGTGACAGGCGTGAGTGTTTATGCGTACGTGATCGATGAGTCGGTCTGTGTGGGTGTTACTTACATGGAAGCTATAGGTTCAGAGGCACCCGTAGACGCCGAGATGTTTGTCGCTGTCTCGGCGCAGCCATAAGATGGACAGATCCATACCTTCAAGATTGCAGAGGCGTTGAAAACAGATGTCCTCTCATGGATACGCAAACTCCAGCCAGGGGTACAAAGGAGTGTTCTAATTTGTATCCCGGGTAGGAGGGATACCAAGTATCAACCGGTTAAGACACCTGCGTCTCGGTTAGAAAGAACAAGACCGGCTTCCCCCCGCCCCCCAGAATACGCGGGGCAGTCTGAGCAACGACGCTTAGGCAGGAAGAGTAGGGTAGCGTGGGCGTGAATGCTGAGTGAGGGATCTCCGTCACCAACGGTGCTGGTACCCTCCTCGAGTAGTGTTTTATTTAACTCCGCTACCATGTTAAAGAGGCCGGGGGAATCGGGCCTCCTTTCACTTGCACTTACCAGGTGAAACGCAGAAGTAAACTTCTATTTCACGCTGGTAGTGTATGAGGTCGTGTACCACTCCGATTCGAGTACGCCCATTCGTGCGACAGAAAAAGCTGCCGCGTGGCTTGGACAAGAACGAGATTGCTCCCACGCAGCTCTCTGCAGCACGTACTCCAACCAATTTCAGCGAGTGCGCTGCACATGGAACATAGTGTGCGAGATTATTTATTTTCAGACCATTGTATCAACTAGACGTATTTGACGTACGAGTATTATCGTAAGTCTGAAAAAACATTGATTGAAAAAAAAAACTTTTAATAACGTCATAATATTGGCTTGAAGCCACTGACCTCTATAAATGGACTGGCTATAACAGTGACATAATGAGGCGATTTGATTTTCGTCATTTAGACGCTGACAGCAGAAGTAAACGTCCACGGAATTAATAATAGAGATAAGACAGCGTGAAAAAATATATCGATAAAAATTCTACCTACCTTCACGTCCATTCTATTTATGCTTTACGTATCATATTAATATAATGCCATACAATAAATAAATGTAGATCAATTAATAAATAACAAATAATTACAGAGTGGATTTCGGGTTTCAAATGAGATAATGTCTACGCATACCTGCATTGCGGGGCAAAGAACGGATTATGTCGGACTTGCACCCACTAAAACTTGAGGTTTTCGCTCCCCGACTTCCCGAGCCCGATATGTGGAGGCCATGGAGCCAAGAAAAAACGAACACTCGGAAGCACTATGTGGTACAGTCTCGCCAAAGTCGCCCTTCACTACGGGCCAGCAATGTGAGTCGCCCTACGGTATGGGTTCACGCCCATGGTAATGGGTTACCAAGTCACGGCTACTATGTCCCCATCCTCCCCCTCCACGACAAGGCGGGAACCCGTTCAGGGAGGAGTTATTTCTCACCTAAACTCACGCAAACTCACGCAAACTCACTAAGGACATTAATAATTTTGTAGTCCCAATATAAATTTATTCCCTTCATACAATAAATTGGTAATAATAAAATTACAGATTTAACAAACTTACGCCTTGTAAACACAAAGTCATCATCAGGCGGCCTTTCTACACTTAACTATGGCCCTTGACTCTGGGGGAAAAATAAGGAGAGAAGAAATAAAAAACATTCCAAATAATAATCTAATACTTTTATACTTACTGGTACTGGTACTACCAGAAAATATTGTGGGTATACTGCACTTTTTCAAAGTGGTGCGTTTCTCATGTCCAATAAAACAGTCGTCTCTGATTTAGAGACCACTGTTTTATTGGACTAAATAACTAAATACTTCAGAGACTCTGAAGTATTTAGAACAAATATAATAATTTTGTTTCGGATGCTAATTCATTATTTTTGTGCTTTTTTGCCATAATTTTAGTGTAGGTTCAATTGGAAACCTGTTAATTAGAAAATATTTGATAATTATCTGTTGTCTGCAACTTTGGTTGTGAACAGATATGGGCAGAAAAGAACATTGATAAGGTATAATAGACAATGAACTTGACAACCCTATTGAGTTTTATTGTTTATAAAAACTCAGTAATATGTATAAAGCGAAACATGTTGGTAATTACGATATTAAGATTAGTAACAAATTTTTAAGTACCTATATTATCAAACAGTTTTAATTTGCTTAATATTAGCTGCAAATTTACTTGTGAAATGTTATCGCACTTTTTTTTTTGGTAACGAATTTTACATATTACGCACACATTTATTATTACTAAAAATAATTCTTATTATTTAACTAAAATCAAATATAATCGAACCACATAAAATATACAATAATTTTTTTAGTTTCAAAATTCAAAATACAGAGATACAATTTAAATAATACAATAGACTTCGGCATATTATGTCAATTTTAGTTCCCGGTACAGAGAATGAGGGCGCTTCAAATCGGCAGAAGCATTTTGAATGGTATAGCCAGTCTAGCGTACTTGTATTTATAGAGGTCAGTGCTTGAAGCAGAAAAAACACACTCAAAGTGTTGACATTCTTCAAAATCTCTAGTACACCAAAAATCTTGTATTACGTTGGTAATATTTTGCCATAAGCCAATGTCGTTCTGGTATTCTACTTCTAGGTGGATTACGTTTTGGTGTAGTACTTGAACCTCGGCCCTCGCTGCACTTTCTTCTGCAAAAGTTAAAGTAGAAGAGTTTTAACGTGGTAGAGCCATACTCATCATCTGAGGCATTACAGCCGCGGGTGGGCCTTAGCCCGGTCCAGCAAAGCTATCCAGTCCGATCTGTTAGAGGCTTTCCTTCTCCAACTTGTAATTCCCAAGATCTTGATATCTTGTTCGACGCCGTCCAACCATCTGAGCTTGGGCCTGCCTCGACTTCTGCGGCCCTCCGGTCGGCCTTCTAAAAGGCGTTTGGGTACTCTGGCCTCGTCCATTCGCAACACGTGCCCTGCCCAACGCAGGCGTCCGATCTTTATGCTCTTAATTACGTTTGGCTCATCGTACATTTGGTATAGCTCGTGGTTATAACGCGTTCGCCATCACTTATTTTCCATCACAGCTCCGAAAATGCGTCTTAGTATTTTCCGCTCAAATACCATCGAGGAGTTTTCGTCTTTTTTGCTCAGCACCCAACATTCGGAACCGTAGGTGAGTATAGGTCTTAGTAAGGTTTTGTACAAGAGAAGTTTTATGCTTCTTGAAAGAAGTTTCGAACGTAAGTATCTTAGTAGTCCGAAGTAGCACTTGTTAGCCGCCATTATTCTCCTACTTATTTCTGAAGACACATCGTTGTTATCGGTTAATAAGGATCCCAGGTATACGAAATCATTGACGCTAGCGAAGGTGTTGCTGCCAATATTAACTCCTTGTAGTAGAATTTGCTGGTCTTTTGACGCTTTCAGGTACTTAGTCTTAGCCATGTTAAGAGAGAGTTGGAGATCAGCCTCCGCAGCTGATTTTTTAAGAGCAAGGTATGCACTCTCCATTGCAGGTAGAGATCTTCCTATCACGTCGAGGTCATCTGCACATCCTAGGATTTTAACAGATTTGTGATAGATAGTGCCTATGGTCTCGATCTTTGAGTCGCGAATACACTTGTCGAGAGCGATGTTGAACAGTAGGCACGAGAGCGCATCCCCTTGTCTTAAGCCGTCATTGGTTCTTAAGGGCTCTGATACATTTGTTTGAACTCTAACAACGCTCTGAGAGTTTCTAAGAGTCATCTCCGTCAGGCGCACGAGCTTTGTTGGGATGCCAATCTCCATCATAGCCTGGTACAGGAAACTTCTGTGCACATTGTCATAGGCAACCTTAAAGTCTACGAAAAGGTGGTGAGTATTCACGTTGTACTCAAAAGTTTTTTCAAGGATCTGCCTAAGCGAGAAGATTTGATCTACTGTGGACCTGTTTGGACGGAACCCAAGCTGGATTCTACATATGGCTTTAGTTTATTAAAAAGCATATTGGCAAAAACTTTATAACTGGTGTTCAAGAGAGATATGCCTCGGTAATTATTGCAATCCAATATGTCGCCTTTCTTATGTAGGGGACAGATAACAGATGTATTCCAATCATCAGGCATTTTTTCATTGTTCCAAATTTGGAGCACCAGGTGGTGAAACTCTTTCTCGAAACCAGTTCCGGCATACTTTATAAGTTCGCCTTGGATATCGCCATTCCCGGAGATTTGTTATTTTTAATGGATTGAATGGCTCGTTTAGTATCTTCTATAGTGGGGTACAAAGATTCATCAGTCTCTTGATTCTTTAGTAAAGCTTCAGGTACAGGTAAAGAGAGTGGACGAGTCTGCACTGAACTGTTAAGGAGTTCACGAAAGTATTCAGCCCATCTTTGAACGATCTCATCTTTATCATTAAGTAGCTGTCCATTCTTACTTCTACACGCCGTGGTTCTGGGTTTAAATTCTTTCCGTCCCCATTTACTTGGTTGTAGAAGTTTCTAGTTTCCTTTTGTGTGTAACTAGATGCAATCTCACGCAGTTGTTGTTCTTCGTACGATCTTTTCTTTCTCTTATGTAGGTGTTTTTCTCGACTTCTTCGCTTCTTATACTCTTCTCCACGCCCGCGAGTGTACTTCTGTTGCATTAATCTGTACGCATCATTTTTCTCATTAGTGATCTTCTGACATTCATCATCAAACCAGTCGTTACGCTTCGGTTTTTCCTCAAATCCCAAAATCTCACTAGCAGCCGTAGATAAAACCCCTTTAAGATTCCGCCAGGTGCTATCAGGATCGCCAATGCTGTTGCTATTTCTTTCGCCCACTTTCATAAGTTCTCTGTGAACTGTGTCCATATATTTGTATTTGACATCCTGTTCTCTCTTCAGCCTTGTTGTTTCAATCTTTTTTGTTCTTACCGTTTTGGTGTACTTGTACCGTGATATTCGTGCTCTTATTTTGCATACAACAAGATGGTGATCGGAGTCGATGTTTGCTCCTCTACGGCTTCTGACATCCAGAAGATTAGAGCAGTGTCTCCCGTCTATCAAAATATGGTCTATTTGGTTTCGGGTAACGTTATCCGCGGAGACATACGTTATCTTATGGATATTCTTGTGTGGAAAGCGTGTGCTGCCGACGACCATTCCTAGGGAAGTTGCCAAATCAATGAGACGTGTGCCATTGTCGTTAGATATTTCGTGTAGGCTGTGGGAGCCTATCGTTGGTCGGTATATACTTTGTCTTCCCACCTTTGCATTCATATCGCCAATTACAATTTTGATGTCACCTTTGGGAGATTTGGAATACACGCTTTCCACATCGGAATACCATCTTTCCTTCTCTTCGAGGTCAGTGTCTTCCGTCGGAGCATGTACATTGATGATTGTGTAATTTTGAAATTTACCTTTAAGTCTGATTTTACACATACGTTCATTAATTGGTTGGAAATCAATTACAAGATGTTTTAGGCGTTTGCTCACGACGAAACCTGTTCCAAAGGTATGATGCTTTTCATTACAACTATAATATATGGCGAAATCTGGTTTATCAATAACGCCATGTCCCAACCATCTAAGTTCCTGAACCGCTGTTATATCAGCTCTGTGATTTGCAAGTTGTTGACATAAAAGTTGAAGGCCCGCTGGTCTGTACAGTGTTCTTAAGTTCCATGTACATAAGGTAAATTCGTTAGCCATTATTGAGTAGCCAGGTCGTTGGTTTAAAATCCGGTCCGTAAGTTTTGCTTTTCCTTTCACAATCGTTTGTGTTCAGACGAGTGGGTGATTAACCCCCTGCGTCCTAGGCCTTTAGTGGGGCTGCCACTTTTGAGCTCAAGACCTAGCTCCGTTTATTTTCAGGTATCGTCCCTTCCGAGTTGAAACCAGTTTTAAGGCGCCGGTTGCTCGCCTTCGCCCTTTGTCCTTAGCATCTGCGCTCTGAGAAAGGGATGGTGATCGTACTTAGAGTACGGGCGCAGAAGGTCCCAGGGGGTACGACGGGGACGTGGACAGATCGGACTGGTTGGTACCTGCATACTTGTGCTCCACCATCAGAGCACTGCAGTCAGAAGACGGGCTTTTTATAGAAATCACTAAGCTCGGGTCTTAGCGACCCCACCCATACACAATACCAACTTCACTCCCTAGGTAGAGCCATACTGCAGCTATATTAATAGTTTAGTTGTAGCATGCATGGGTCGGCTCGACCGGGGTGGGACCACGTTCTCACAGAATACCAGCGTAAAATAGCAGCTTAATGCTGTTGTGTTTCTAATGGTGAGTGTAGAGAACCGGAGACCCTAGAAACGAAGACTTCCATCTTAGTACTCAGGGGTAACAACGCATCTGCATTTTGATTCTTAATCGAGGATAAATGTAAATGTAGATGACCATGGTTTCATTGTCAGAAAGACGTAGGCCTTTTATCTCACTGACAAAATGGTATGAATCCTCAGTGTACTCATGTGTGTCCTCTGAGTGATGATGGTATTTTTGCTAACTTTTGAGCCAATTTGTAAGTTGGTGAATCAATCTGACTCATTATTAGGTGTAATGGACCACCTACTTGGGATCCTGTAATTAATAAAACTCAAATTGAACCCAAGCATACCACTGCTGTGTCTTGAAATCTTGCACTTGAAGTCGTGCATCGGGACAAAAGTAATAATTAAAAAGCTGAAGGTACTCTGGGTTAACTCTGACGTCGGGACGTCCAATCACCTCAGCCGCCGTGATCATGGGTGCCGGAAAGCATCCGAAACATCGGAAATTAAAAATAAGTACCATAAAACGCGATAAATAACGTAAAAGTAGTTTTATTCAGTGTGTTGTGTTCGTATAAATATAAGAAATCATTAAACAACTAGTCAATTTAGTTTTAAATTAGGTATGATGATTTTTTTTCAGACTTCAATAAGCCATAACCTTGATTAGTTAAAATATAGTAAATTATTTTATTGATATCTGTAATGTGACATAAGTAGATGCTTAATAATTCCACCAATAATTTTTTCGCCATTGTCCTTTACAAGAAGATCTTGGGTACTTAGTCTTAGCGTAATATACTGCTTGGTGGGTTGTACGAGTATGTCTCGAGCCCGAATTTTATTTAAACGTAAGTAACGTAAACGTAAACGTACGTAACGTAACGTAACGTAAACGTAAAATCAAAACTTGTTTAAGACATTGGTTTTGTATGAAAAGCTGTAGTACAGACAGACTTTCCATGAAAGGATGTCAACATACACCAGCTACATGAGCGTGTTCCAGACAGATATCTGAGTGTGTCATATCATCAAGCATTTCGAAGATATTTGTATCCATTTCGAAATATTATATTATTATTTTGTTCGCTACATTTTGTATGTACATAGGCTTTTTGAAATTGGGCATCAGCTAAAATTATAACGATTTTACTAAGATTATTTTTAAATATGAGTCTGACTGATTTTTACCATGGCAAATTAGTTAAAGAGTTGCTATTAACAAAATATACCTAAAAGTAAACTAAAATTACAGGCTTTGTATGTCCTACTGCTCGGTACAGGTCTCCTTTCATTTCTGAGAAGGTTTTAAGGCAGAAACCGTCTAGAACGTGGTGAATCAGGACTGAAATTGTTATTAATGATTTCATTGGTGCCGGCGGGGATCGAGGCCTAATAATACTACCAAGTTATAAAGTGGGTACCGAGCTGTCCAGTCACATAGTGCATCTACTGGTACCTTAGACTGCATAATTACTGTCATATGCAAATCGGTCAGAGTTTACATCCCTATTACTACTTGTCTAAAATCCAAAATAATTAGGGGCATAACAGGTATGCGGTGTCTGCACCCGGACCCCGTCTCGTAGTGATAGGTACTGCATCTTTGACGCATCTTGACATATTCGTTATTAATTAGTTGTTATACCTATGTAAAAAATGTCGTGCAGTCGGCAAGACATATCAAAAGACTTACCAGGGAGGCCATACAAACTATCACACAAGATAATTCGAAAAAAAATTCATCTTAAACGATAATGCGCCTCCTTTGTATTTTTGTAGATTTTATCACTTTTATCATGCCAAATATAATAAAAATAATAAGATCTACTAAAAAACAATAGAAAGGGCAAGCTGATTAAGTATTTAAGACAGACAGAAAATATATTAGCAGTTGTGTTTAATATACGAAGTTACGGAGGATACTGGATAGGATTGTTTGTAATTGGACGATCTCATCCTCTAATATTTTTTATTTATTTTAAGTAACGGCACCAATTAAAATATGGTGACACGAAGTGTTACAGGCACTGGCTATGACAACATGGACAACATGGTCCGCTGCTCCCACCACAGCATCTATCGCCGCAAGGTCCGCAACATATTTTTGGATGAGTACAGAGTCTTAATTGGAAAGAAAATCTGAAAGGATATAAAAGAAGTTAAGTTTTAGTATTTTACGATAGATTATAAAAAAAATTTGGTCTTTTTATGTATCCGCAAGAAAATTATTTGTACTGAATGACAGACTGACAGATAAAGAACAACCTAAAACGGTGAGCATAGAGATTTGAAATCTGCGGGCTACACAGTGACCTTTATATATATATATATATATATATATATATATATATATATATATATATATATATATATATATATATATATATATAGGTCAGTGGGGCTACAGCTAGTACACACAAAACGTTTAACGAGTGAGTGATATTGTCGAGAAAATCTAAAACCTATATATTAATGAATGGGAATTATTTTGACCCGATTTTGGGACTTCGTACATAAAATATTTTAATATTTCTTTAAGAAATAATTAATATTTATAATATTTTATAATGGTTTAGGAAAACAATAAAATCTTAATAAAAATTACAAGCAGACTTCAAAGAACCAAAAAGAACAAGTTAATTTCCGTATAATAGCTTTAGAAGCTTAGCTGTCTTTGCGACTTTCGAAGCTATGAAATGAAAATTATTTTTATCTTTTTAAATTTTTGACTCTTTTGAGGTATTTGAAAAATCTCGAAAGTCGTCTCAATAAGTGGTTAAATAAAAAAAGAATTATCCCCTATTTCGTTAGGGGTAAGGAATTTTTACTCCAAATTTTATGGGACTGTCCCTGAAGTATAATGTATTTATTAAAAAATAATCATTAAAATCGGCAACATAAATTGCAAAAATAACATGTGTGTTATTGTTCATATACACAGTTCATACGCGGTTTATGTGAAATCTTCAGAAAACTAAACTTCTCGAGAATTAGACGAATGCACAGTATCAGAAGTAGGATAATTGTAGGGTTTATTTATTACAATATTGTTACTAAGTTTAAAAATTACTTTGTATATTATTCTACATATTATATTTCATTATATATTAAGGAATGAGGATATCCGCAGTAGAACCAGAGTAACCGACATAGCCCAACGGATTAGTAAGCTGAAGTGGCAGTGGGCCGGCCATATAGCTCGAAGAACCGACAACCGATGGGGAAGAAAGGTTCTCGAGTGGCAGCCTCGTACCGGTAGGCGAAGTGTAGGGCGTCCCCCCACGAGATGGAGTGACGACCTGGTAAGACATGCAGGAAGTCGATGGATGCAGGTGGCTCAGGACCGTGCTTGGTGGCATTCTTTGGGGGAGGCCTATGTTCAGCAGTGGACTTGTGAAGGGCTGTAATGATGATGATGATGATATATTATACAGACTCCAAGTTTTCAATTTTAGTCTAATAAACCAAAATAATATTTTCTTTCGAGTAAAATTGCTGTGCAATAGCGCCATCTACTTCATTCTATAGGTAAAGTGTCTGTCTACGAGGTAAAGTAATTTTATAGAACAAAGTTTGATTGTCTCTCAAGGTGGTACGTAAAATAGACGCTAGATGGTTAGATGGATAAATTAGCGTCTATTACATTTATTTAATAAATTTGTTAAGTTTTTAACTGTATTTTTTTATACGATAGGGTGACAAACGAGCACACAGTCCACCTGATGGTGATTGCTGTGACCCATAGACATCTACATCTATCCTCAATAAAGAATAAAAATGCAGATGCGTTGGCACCCGTGAGGACTAAGATGGAATGCCTCTTTTCCAGTAAAAAAGATCTCCGGTTTTCTATTTGATTCCGGTTTTCTACACTCATCATACGAAACACAGTAATGTTAAGCTGCTATTTTACGCTGGTATTCTGTGAGAGCGTGCTCCTTCCCTGGTCGAGCCGACGCATTCATGCTACAACTATACTACTAATATAGTCGCAGCATGGCTCTACTATGTAAAAAAATTGATTATTTAGAAATATTTTTAATAGATAGAAGTTATATTAACCATCTTTAATATCATCTCAAATAGGAAACACTGTATAATGTATTCTATCTTTTTCTCTCGCAGGCTAAATCTAGTCTCTTATCAGTGTCGCTTTTTCGCACAACGATTCAGAAGTTTTCACTTCAAAAGCATGCACCAGAATTACGAATCTCCTCCTTTTTTGAAATCGGCTAATAAAAAAAACTATCTTACTTAATAATCTTTTTATAGAATAAGCACGAGCATACAGTCCACCTGATGATAAGTGTATGCTGTGGGTAGATATCTTCATATATCCTCGTTTTCGATTAAGAATCTAAATTTTAGCGTTTTTACCCCTGAGAACCTTAGTCCTCAGGGATGTAATACTACGTTTCCAGTAAAAATGGC